GAATTAAACATACAATTAGCATTTTCTGTTTTATAAACAGATCAAAAAACAATTAGAGAGTTTTTGTTTAAAAAGACAAATTTCTATTTTTACTTAGATATTTTCAAGGCTTCAAGTATTCCTTAAATCATATAAAAGCATTCAAATATTTTATTGACTTAACAGATTTCACATTTTTTATTTCACTCAAAGTTAAAAGGCCAGGGGAAGTATAGATTGTGTACAAACCTCGCATTCTTTTGTGAATAATTTCTCTGTAAAAAATAGATCAGAAAAAATTGTCGAACCAAAGTTATTGGCTATATATAGTGTCTGTAAGGGTCAGGGTTGAAATAAGGGGGTTAGTGGAAGAAATTAATTTGAGAGATCATATATTGATTGATTGATTGATTGATTTTTTTTTTATTGGTACTTTGAATTCATGGTTTTTTCCTTTTTAAGTTACAAATAGTTTATTTTCTTATATTGTAGCGAAAAATGAAAAGAAACTTTGAAGTATCAGTGTAAAACAGAAAAAGGATGTCTGAAATCACAATCTATTATTTTAAATTAATATACAAACTGTGTTCCTAAAGAATAGCCATTTTCAAGCTTTACAAAATTATTCATTGAATTTGCAAATTGACAAGGCATATTGTGCTTTGCTTTATGTCAGTTTGTTACACGCACCAAATATGATTTTGATCACACCAGTAGAGAATCAAGTACTAGTACTTATAAAATCAGATTGCACATTTTTTATTTCAAAGTTAAAAGGCCAGGGGAAGTATAGATTGTGTACAAACCTCTCATTCTTTTTTGTGAATAATTTCTCTGTAAAAAGATAGATCAGAAAAGATACAGTAAAAAAGTAAAAACCTTATTTGTTCTGTCTCCGTTCTAAATATTTTTAGTATAAAATTTAGTTTTCAAGCTATGTTAATTTTATAATCTGACTGTACAATGACTTTTCCAGGATCCAATGGAAACAGTTAAACAATGGAGATGAGTATCAAAACAATAAAAAAAACATTATATACAGAAAACTTTATTTGGAAAAGCTTGACACATTGTGACATTATTATTACTAACTCTACAAAAAATAAAAATAAGAGAAACTATAATGGTAATTAATACAAAAAGCATTTTAAACTAAAATCTTGTCAATGATTGTGAAACTTTTGACAAATAAATAAAAGAAAGGTATTTTAGAGGCGTTGTTTTCTCTTTTTACACTTATTTCTAAATTGATTTTTATGTGGGGTTTTTCTGTTCTCACTTCACCGGCAATCCAGTCGAAATTTTGCATCAAAATCTTGATTTGAGATCAGTTTTTTTTTTTTTTTTAACTCTAGTGATATTCATTTTTAAAGTAATTTAAATGGCCAAAAAAAGCCACTTGGAATTGTCTTGGCAAATCTTTAAATGCCGAAAAAAAAAAAAAAAAAAAAAAAAAGTAATAAAAATAAAAAAACAAGAAAGGTAACTCTTTCTTTAGTTTCAGTTTACTATTTGAAATACTAAAAGTAAAAATGTTTTAATAAAAACACATTCTTAAAGAGGAAAGTCTATTGAAACAAGTGAACAAACATTTACAAGACAACAAAGTTTATTATCTCTCAAGCCATTCCCAATCAGACCAACACTACATAACGTCTCTAATTTGAATAGTGAGTCAAGTTGCCAATATCAAACATGACATTAAATTACAATACATATAAATAAAAAATAAGTTAGACGAGAATCCAGCAAAATGGTAAATACAAGACAATTTGGAACACTTCAGCTTTTTCAACATGTTTCGCTGATTGAACCGGCGTCATGACATCATTGTGAAAAAAGTACTTTTCTGATGGCACCGGTAAAGTATGTCAAATTGAAGCCTTCTAAATTGTCTTTTACCATTATCATTTACATATTGACATACATCATCTATAGAATAATAAAAGTAAATTAATAATTTGTAAATTTGATGATAAACTTCAAATAATTTGCCATAACTGTTTTAGTGTTCTGTTCTCATATTCGTTACAACAGATATCTATGGATATTTCTATCAAGAAAATGCATGATAGAGTTGAGAAATAGAGTTGAGAAATAGCCTTGATGTTTTTTGCGAAAAGCCAAATAAAGGCAAAATGACCAAAAAAATAAAAAAATAATAATAATACAAAGACAGAACATGGCACCATCTTGTCCAGTGAAGAAAAGTTATACAAAAAAATTAAACAAGTGGTTTTATAACTGCTGGTTCAAGTGAGAAGGCTTCTATCAAAAGATAGAAACAAAATTGAAAACTCCTCAATATACAAATAAACACCAAGTGCATCATTGTTAAATGTTAATGTTACTAGTGTGAACCATGTGCTTATCTTCTGTAGTAATATACTTGTCTCTACTACTCTCTACACATGCATTTTGTACACGGGTACCCCTTTAAAAATGATCAACAATCAACACTAACATTATATTAGCAAATACAATAACAGCAAATTAACAACAACAAAACAATTATTTCTCCCGCTCTTTGACAAGGAGCATAAATACAAATGATTAAAAGACATTTCCTGTTAACAAAAAACTAAAAAGTGATATCCGAAAATAATGAGATTAAAAATAAAGAAATCCACAATTTATCTGTTGTTTCCCCCTAAATAATAGAATATTGTGGATAGAGTCGACTTTAGACACCTTTCTAGAGATTTTCGATCTAGGAACCAATTTTTTTAAGAGAGAAAGAAAAAGGTTTTAGATTTAATAAAGTTAAAAAAGTTAATAACAAAATGATATCGACTTATTGTTTCATTGGGAACTTAAAATAAACAATGTTATTTTGACTGGTAGCTCCAACAATCCAGTTCTTATAAAAAGTTACAAGTCGAAAAGTCCTAACTTTTCGAAAAGAATCAACAATAGCAGAAGGTTCCTTTAAGAGAGAACACACTATAGTTCAAGTGAACAAGTCAGTATTTCACAGATTTCTTCTTCTTCTCGTCCTGCCTTCTTTTGTAATTTTCTCTCTTTCCCTCCCTTTCTATCTGAATTTCTCTACTACTTGTATACCAGCTGTACCTTTAACTCTACCAATTCAACTTCGACTATTTATTTGGCCGTATCATCTTTAACTTTAATTGTCAACCTGGCCGGTACGAAAGAAAGTCGGTGGGACAGGGAAGTAAATGGGAGGAGGGGATCTTCATCTAATAAGAAGGTAAGGAGATCAAACAATTAACAGACCAATTAAAGTCAATGTTAAATTGATGACAGAACAACGTAGTACTACGTCGAGTGTGTAGAGCAACGACATGCGTGTTTTTATTTTAAAAAAATGTATGGAAAAATGGAAATCCCGAGAGAAAAAAAAGGGATTTTTAAAAAGAATTGATGAAAATAAGGAATAAGAAAACGTACATATACGCAAGAAAGGGTGATTCTATGCGTAAATTGAAAGAAGTTTTTAGACGTACGTGATTATGAACTCGTAGACATGTGTACACTGTAAGTGTACAGTACACACAGTTTACACTACACTACAGTGTATGTGTCTGGTTGTATCCACGTGATAGACAAGAATAGAAGATAACAAAGAAAATGTTAAAAAAAAAAAAAAAAGATTAACAAAACAAAACATCGGCAAGTTTAACTTGAAAAAAATCATATAATCGTGAAAAAGTAAAATTTATAATTAAAAGGAAAAAAATGTCATGAAAACGTGATTTAAACTCCAACTCGTGTATTTGTTTCTTTTGAAAATGAACCCAGAGACAAAAAAAAAAAACTATGGACAGAAAAGAACATCAAATCTCTCTAAAACCAAACAAACAGAATTTAAAACTCACGTGTCTTAATGAATGTGCAAATTTATAAAAACTTGTTCACTCACGATTTCAATATATATAGACAGTCGATCGTTTCTATGGTAAATGATTGAAAATTATAATTTACATTCCACATAAGTTGGAAAACGTATGAAATTGTATATATAAGTAATATGTGGCGAACACAATTGACGACAACAAAAGTAAAACTTAAGAAAATAAATAATCCCGGCAAATTGCCAAGTTTCTTCCCCCGCCACTGAAAACAAAAAACAACCAATCAATTGATAGAACGAGATTTATTGAAATTTTAAAGTGATCAATGTCAGCGCGGAAAACACAAAAAACAAAAAAGATATCAGGAATTTTCGTTTAAATATCGACAATATCCCCGCAAAATATACAAAGATTAGAGTAGACAGACACAATATAAACATTTGATTGATTTTTTTTACCTTTTTCATTACCGTTGCGAGTTGTGATTCAATTTACCCATGTGTTTAGTCAAGAATAAAACTTAGAGCGTAAGTTTCTTATTTATTTACTAGTTTTCAGGATACACACAAAAAAAACTGTTACATTTATTTACTATAAATTTTTCTTGACAGTTACTTATGACTATACAATTATTGTGTATTATTTGAATTAAAATTTTAAATTTAACTCATTCCATCAATAAGAATAAAAAAAAATAAAAAAATGTTTTATTCACTGGTGTCCACAGAAAATTAACGTGATTTTACTTGAAATACAAATTATGTTTTAGTAAAAAAAGAAAAAAGTGAGAAATTTGTAATTAGGATAATTTAAAAATTAAATACGAGCGTAGGAAAAACAAAATATTTTAATAAAAAAAATGACAAAAAGAAATAATTTTTTCTCTGACTTGAACAAATATTTTCATAAAAGGAGAAAAAATTTCTTGAACCACGTAAAAAATGGACTGATAGGGAACAACAAGTATGGGTAGTAAAAATAATAAAAGAATAAGTTTGTTTTAAAAATCATTTTTGGGGAGAAAACTAAGAGCTAACTAGTAAAAGGAACATAATGTGTTCAGTTTAAAAGTGATATGAAAAATAAAGAGAATATTTTCGCTAAAAACAAAAAGGAGAATTACACAGTGAAAATAGGTAAACAACAAGAAAAACGTGTGTGAGAGAGAGTCAAAAAAGGTGGGAAAAAAGTTGTAAAAAGAAGTACCTGTTATAAAATAGTGAAGTGGTACTTTTTCGAATCCATTCCCGTGTAAGAAGCGCGTTTTGTGAAGGAAAGAAGAGAATCAGGAGGAGGAGGGAAGAATAACAAGGGGGTGGAGGAGGAGGAAGGTCCAGCACGAGAGGGAAAGGAAGAGGTAAATAAACGGGCGAAGTAGGAGGGAGGCCGACGAGGTAGGAGAAAGAGGAAATAGACAAGCGAAAGATGGATAGAAGAAAACAGAATTGAAATGGACGAATAAGAATGAAAAGAAAAAAAGGAAAAAAAAAAACGAAAAGGACAACGACATATATAGATAAACAATAAACAGAGAAGAAAAAAGGGTATGGGAAATAAAGGAAGAAAAAATCTACATTACTAGATGTAATGAAAAAATAAAAGGGGGGGTCTATCAGTCGGCTTGAGATTTAATTTCCATCACTAAAGAAGAGTGGAAAAATCTGGTGGCTGGATGGTTGTGTTACCACGACAACCCAATATAGCTAGGACTATTTGGGCAGACCTGACAACACTGCGTAGAGAAATCAATATATTATAGCCAAGCCTTCTTCTTCTTCACTGGGTAGGCAGGCTGCAGTGCAATCTCTGGTTGGTGGGTTCCATTGCCTCTTCCCTGGCTCTGCCTTATTCAACACAACCTTCACAGCAACGACGACCACCACCACCAACAACAACAGTGATGAGGAAGAGGAAGAATGATGATGATGATGATGATGATAGTAATATTATTGCTGATGCTTCAACAGTAAAGAAAAAAAAAGAGAGAACAAAGAGAAGAAAGGAAAGCTATAAATTGAATAAGAGAGGGGGTGGGAGAGAGAAAGTGAACCAGGCAGCCAACGAGTTAGGTCTGCCTGCTTTCTTTCTAAAACCAGATCAATAGACAGTCTTTTTTTCCCCCGTCTTTCTCTCTCTACCCCACCGCCATCTCCTTCTACATCTCCACAACCTCCTGCTTCACCGCCACCTTCTTTCTTTCGACCTCCTCACTGTTCAATGCCTAGAGGCTGGAAGTAGGTGGGGGTGATGGCGAGAGTATGGTGCAGGGTGGAGGGTTGGGCAGAAAAGGAGGGGAAAGAAATAGAGAGGAAGTGAAGAACACACATACACACAAGCATTTATAAGAAGCGGTATACAAACTCTAGTTTCATTCAACATGCATATACATACGCACTGGCTGAGTAATTTAGTTATCTAACAATACACGCGTGCGCACACATACACATACATGTGTGTCACAGTCAAAAAAATATTTATCAGTGCGTATATATTAGCACATACACACATATTCGTATATAGTCACATAGACATATAGTCTCATTTACACACACCATGAACAGACAGATGAGCACACACCAAACTCAGCTGATTAACACAATCATATTTAAACAACAAATTTATTAATGTGTTAGTCGGTAAACAGACACACAGAATTAACAAGCACATTGAAATATTGACACACACACACACATATATATATATATATATATATATATATATACACACACACAGAATGGAATAAATTATGACCATGGAATATTAGTGTTTAAGCCTTTTTTATTATATATATATATATATATATATATATATATATATATATAATGGTGAGTTTATTTTATAAAAATTGGTTACCAACCCATATAAAAAGATCTTTTTATTGAGTATTTTTAAAAACTAATTATTTTTGTTCCAATCTTATGCTTGTAAAATCAAGAGCAAATATTCAGACTGGTCAACTAATATGAAGTGTAAGTATTAGAAAGAGTCAAGGAAACCCCACCTTGTACCTACCATGACTGAATGAACACAGCAGAAAACTTGTGTACGCACAACAACCACACACCCGGCTGACTAACCCAAAATTAGTGTCAGGGAATATCACACACAAAACTGTATACAACTTACACACCTGTACACAATAAACAGAGAAGTTACAATCATTCTTATATACGTACAGTAAATGTTTATATCAGCAAGGAAACATACAAATAACCTTTTCAGATACAACATATGTATACATACGGATATACATACATACATATACACATATTATTGTACAGTCACACACACATATTACTGTACAGACACAAATATTGTATAGACATACATACATGGAGATAGAGATTATTATACATACATTATTATATATAAATACATTATTGTACATACATACATATAGACACACACACACACACATATATATATATATATATATATATATGTTATTGTACACACACAACTTACTTTGGCACAGAACATGATAATGAGGTTCACTTTTAGAGTTTAAATAACTATATGAGAGTAATTTCTGAAATATCACTACAGTAGGCCCCTTTACATACACACACACACACACATATATATATATATATATATATAAGATAGAAAGAGTTGTGTCTGCATAGACACCTACATATATGCTTAGGGTACATATCATTTGCAATATTTATGTGCACATGTTTAAAATTTTTTGTATTCATACACAGAAAATATATATTGGTAATATTTTGCGTGCACACACACACTATATATATATATATATATATATATATATATATATATATATATATATAAGCTTTTACAAAAAAACAAATTACATAGTTTTTACCATATGCTGAAGTTGAAAAGTTTTTTTTTAATACGTTAGTTACATATTTAAGAAAATAGAACTTAATAACAGTCAAAAAATAAGTAGAAGGAAATAAATTTACCTAAAGAAATTACCTTATACATAGTTCATCTTCATATACAACCAGTTATATACAAAGATATTTTATATTACACAAATATACCAATTGCATTTATAAGTAAATGACATGCTCACATTTTATATATGTATAATAAGATACATTTTTGAAATATAAATCCAACACATACACATTATTTCTTTTGTGTTTACATACACATTATATATGAAATGTATATAAAGATGAAGCATAGGCATATGTGCACACACATATTTCTAACCTGTAGCTATAAATGCAACCTGAAAACATTCTTATATTTTGTCAGCAAGTTCATATCAGGTGACAAAAGAACAGTTTTATTCAGTACATGTGATAATTTAAAATTGAACACTGCATTATATGACCCATAAAGATGATGATATTCCCAAACCTCATCTAGAAAATGTGTGCATACACACAATTTCATTGTACACTCACCAGTGCAGTGATATAATAAATATCTTAAATACATTCATAACACATGGACTGTTTTGAAAACTCACCTAACATACTTGTAGTTGACAATATGCATTTAACATGCAGTTTTATTTGGCCTCACAGATACAGTGTTGTATTTCATGCACATGGTTGGGTCTGTTATAGACACAAGCCTGATGACAAGGTATACACACACACACACACGTAGAAAACATGTATTCAATATACATACACAAGTGTGGTTATACACACCAACATACAAAGAGTAAAAGAATGGCTGAATACAAAAGCATTGGTTGAATACCACAAAAAGAAAAAAAGTATTTGTTAAGGTTTTGCACCCCCCCTTCTTCTTGTTTCCAAGGTAGAGGTGAAAATTAAATACCTTGATAGAAATCATTAGTGAAAGAAAAAAAAGGACCAAGAAAATGAGAAAGAGAAAACATGGGGGAAGTGTGGGCGTATATGTGTTAGAGTAGAGAAAAGTTGGGGGTGCCTGTAAAGAAGAGAATGTGTTTGTGTATAACAAATAGTGTGTATATGACGGAACAAGAGGAAAAGCTTGCCTGTACATGTGGTGGAATGTGTAAAGTAAGTTTATATCTGCATGTGTATATTATACAAGATAAAAACCTATCATAACCTGAGAGTAGGGAGGATAACGTCTCTCTCTCTCTCTCTCTCTCTATATATATATATATATATATATATATATATACACACACACACACACTTTTCTTTTGCATGTATGTGCAAGTAATAAAAGGTACATGACTGTGTTTGTTATAATACACAGATGTGTGAATAAAAATTCATATATATGTATAAGAGAATCTATGTGGATATTAAAACAAGGTTAGAAGGTAACAGAATACTTAGACAAGAGCATATGTACACACACTCTCTCTCTCTCTCTTTCTATATATATATATATATGTGAATGTAAATATGAAAAAATTTAAAGAGTGCAAATGTGACAATTGTGTCAGTGCCAATATTTAGTTTGTAAGTGTGTGTATATACACACACACGCACACACAATATAAAAGGTGTGCTTGTATGTAATAAAAGCTGTATTTATCAATATGTTTGTGATAATGTCATAAGAGGGGCATGTCAGTGAGTGTGAATGCATGCATGTGTAAGTGGGTTGAGCACAAAGAAAAGTAATGCCAAACAGAAGAGAGAAGGAATGGAAGGAGAGGAAACGAGTGGAGTGTGCGTGTGTGTGGGGGGGGCGAGTAACATCAGTTAAAGAGTAAACCTCTGACAGTTGTGGAACCAGGAAGCAGAAATTGGGTGCAAAAGATGCAACATAAATGAGAAAGTATATTAAAAACAAAAAAGAAAAGAAAGCCTCTAGAAAATGAGGGACAAAGAAGGAAACGGAATTTATATGAAAACAACAAAGATGACAAAAAAGAAAAAAGAACTGACAATCAGGCATGACCAAGCCACAGAGATTAGAAAACTAACCAAAATATAGTCAATGTTAATAAATTAAAAAGGAGCACAAAAATCCAAATTTGTTATGTGATGGAATTATATGCCAGAGTAAACTGGCTGAATGATGGATACTGGAAGTTCTGTCAAACTGACATGTACCTGGCAGCAGGTGAAAAATACAGCCAACTGCCAAATTGACATACACCTGGCAATGAGGAGAAAAATACTCCCAAGTTCAAATGCACCTAGTAGCAAGAGAAAAAAATACTACCAAATTGATACACACCTGGCAATGAAATGAAAAATACTGCCAACTGAAAAGTTAAACTGCACCTGACAGTAGGAGAAAAAATACTGCCAACTACCAAATTGATATACAGCTAGCAATAAGTGTGTGGTGGTGGTGGTGGGGTTACTGCCAAGTTGAAATGTACTTGACAGGAGCAGGAAAAAATACTGCCAACAGGAGATAAAAATACATGCAATTATCTAATTTAGTAGCTGATCACAGAAATGACCTCCAATCTATTAACTGGGGCAAAAAACAGCTTGTTAATTTTAATGCCTCCAAAACTAAAATGTTCTCTTTTAATTATTTTATAGATTTAAAGAACCTTTCTTACCCTCCATGCTGATGCTAACCTTCTTTTTTCACTGATATGAATAGGAATAATTATATCGAGTCTGTTGCTAAGTCTCCTACCAGTAAGGTTGGTTCACTATGTAATGCTAGACAATTTTTATCACCAGAATCTATCTTGCACCTTTATAAGTCTACCATTCATCTGTGTATTGAATATTGCTGCCACATGCCACATCTGGTCTGGAGCTTTTATGTATTTAGAGATTCTTGATAAAATGCAAAAATGAATCTGCAGTGTTACCAGTCCTGACATCTCATATTCAGTCACATTTCCACTGCTGTAACATAGCTTCCCTGTGCCTTTTCTATAAAGGTCTATGGCGATATCACGTTGAAACATTGGTTCCTGTATGATCACTAAAGTTAAGCAACATTGAGCCCAGTCAGTACCTAGATGGGTGATCACTTGGGAATACCAGGTGCTGTAAGGTTGGATGTGTGGGTGGCATAATGGCTAATGACTTGGTAATCAGAGAGCCGAGTTCCAATTCCACTTGGGTTTATTATATTCATTTACATGCAAATAACCTTGGGAAAAGTATGAATCGACCACTTTTCTCCACAGCCATGGGATAATTAGTAAGAATTCTATCACTAAAATGATTATATCAAGAAAAAAACTCTTACAATCTAAAAATATTTTCTGGCTTTAAATAACCAGCAAAGGATTGATAAGATGTAGATAGAAAACAAATCAATCTTCTATAAATATTTTAATGGCATTTGTTCTGATGACTTCATCAGTAAGTGCAGTACTAGATTGGCAGCTAGACCTCATCATTTTACTGTTGAAACTTTTAAATTGTTAGATGTAACCGTAAGTTATATTTTAATAGGTTTTCCTCTCTTACTTCTCACCTGTGGAACTCTCTTCCAACTTCTGTCAATTATGATCTTCGAAAATGTAAATGCAACATCAATCATCATCATCTGTCTTTTTGAATTCTATTCTTTTATTGTCCTTTTTATTCAGTCTCTCTCTCTCTCCTTTGTGGCTTTTTAACCTTGTTTGGGATGAAATGATTGAAAAAGTTGACATACACCTAGCTGGCAGCAGGGGGAGAAAATACTGCTAATTATTGAATAGTGCATATCTTAGTCAAAGTATGATGTCAACAAATAACAACACATTAAATAATGGGGGGAGGGGCTACTGTCAAATGATACACGTTAAGCATAAGGAAAAAAAAAATGTTCCTGAATTTTGAAAGATACAAGAGGAAAAGATTACTAATTGTCAGACAAAACATACATTAAAAAGCCACTATCAGGTGACATATTTTGAAAACTTTGCCTGAATTGGTTCAAGTGTGAACAACATTTACAAAGTGAACATTGCCAAAATATTATATAAAAGCAGACCATCAACAAATCAATGTATGAATAAATACCTAGAACACAAGAGCAGATATTGTGTAGAATAAAAGATATTTGAATTGTTCTGAACAAATTAGAATTATTACTTACACAAAAAACATTACAGGGCTTATGGCCATTATCACATTGAAACAATGGTTCGCATATGATCACCAAAGTTAAGCAACATCGAGCCTGATCAATACCTAGATAGGTGACCGCTTGTGAATACCAGGTGCTGTAATCTTGCATCTACAGTTGGTGTAATGTATAATGGCTTGGAATTGTTAATCAGAAAGCAGAGTTCCATTTTCAGTTGTGTTTAATATATTCCCTTAGATGCAAGTACCCTTGAGAAATGTATGAATCCACCTCTTCCCCCTAGCTATGGGTTAATTAGTAAGACTTGTATCACTAAATCATTATTATCTCAGAAAAAAATTCTTACAATTTAAAATATTGTTAAGCCATAGAAAATGAATCAATCAATTAAAAAGAAAGAAAAATGCACTACAAAAACATTTTTGATTAAAAACAAAAATATGGAAGTGCTGAAAAGTTTTCAGCCTAACCCACTTTCCAACATCTGACCATATATCAGATTTTGGAGATGGGTCCCTTGGTTAGTCTAAGAACTATTTAGCACCATGTATTCAAGCTTTTTTAACAACCAGTAGGAAAGTTCAGTGGTTAGAGCACTGGACTGAAATCTGTATAGCCTAAGACATTCATTTTTAAAAGTGGAAAACTTTTACTTATTACTAATATCCAAAAAGACAAACAGATTTGAAAACATACATTAATTTTCTTTTCTGGAAGATTTTCTTACTTTGCATGAGAAAACAAATTTAGCACTTGCCAAAAATGTCCATTCATTTAATTCCTGGTCATGGCTAAACTGATGAGAAAACGATTGCAATAATTTGTTGTAAAGAATCGTGCAGTTGCCTGAAAATAATAATGTATTTGGAGAGAGGCAGACTAAAATGGTGGTGGTAGATGAGTGTTAGTTGTTACTGAGCTGTAAGAAATGTATTGCTTGTCAATTGGTTTTGGTCTGTCACTCAATAGCAGAGGAAAATCAAACAAACTGACACATGGACAATCACTACAAGTTTGATGTCCTAAGCTGGCATATTTGCTATTACAGGGTTGGCAGTTTACAAAACAAATTTTTAACTGAATATTTTCCTATTAGCTTATAAATTTTTTATCACTAAATTTGTTTCTGTTGTCAAAAGTTATTGTAAAAAAAAAACTTTTTTTTGTTGTTTTTTAATTAAAATTTTAACAGGATTCAATTATATTTGAGTTCCTATCTAGTAGTTGAGATTGAAAAAAAAAACTTAAAAAAAAACAGAGACAATCAAAATTTTCCATCACAATATACAAGAAGTTTATCAACAAGTTAGTTAAGAAAAGTAAAAAAAAAAAAAAAAAAAAAAAAAAATGAATTTCATTTACATCATTTGAGAGACCCTTTTCATCATGGCTGATGTTAACCTCCAAAAGAGAGTGACTTCTTGCATCTTCTTGGGTTAACATTTTCTGCTGACATGAAGAGGGAAGATTATATTGAATCAATTGCTAGGTCTGTTGCTAGGAAAGTTGGTTCACTGTGTCATGCTAGACAACTTTTTTCTCCAGAATTTATCTTACATATTTATAAGTCTACTATTTATTCATGCTTTGAATATTGCCACCACATATAGTCTAGTGCTCCTGCTATACTTGATAAAATTCAAAGAAGAGTCTGCAATGTTATTGGTTCTGACCTGGTATCTCGCCTTCGGTCACTTTCCCACTGCCATAATGTAGCTTCCCTGTTCTTTTTCTTTAAAAGCTTTTATGGTAATTGCTCTGATGAATTTACCTTGCAGTACTAGATTTGTGGCAAGGTCTCGTCACTTTAGAGTTGGAATGTTCTATGCTAACAGTTTTTTCTATTGTACTTCTCACTTGTGGAACTCCTGGCTTCTTTCTTCCCACCTAACTTTGAGCTTCAATAAATCTTAAATGCAATGTCAATCTACTGTGTATTTTGTGTTTTTTTTTTATTTTTCTCTATCCATAACAGTATTTTTTCCTCATACTATCTAATACTCGGTAACCCCTTGTGTCCTATTGGCTTTATTGCCTTGTTTTGGGGGTGAAACAATTAAATATATATATATTTATTTATTTTTAATCTTAAAAATATTTTTCATAAACTGTTTTTATAAATAATTTTCAGTTCATGTTTTATAAATAACATTCTAGAAGTTTACTATGTTAAAAAGAACTTTTTCTATCCTGTTTTTAATGCCAGATTAGCAAAACTGATTCTCTGAATCACATTTATCATTTTCTGCTTGTTTACATATGCCATTTTTACTAAGTGGGATAAAAAGAAACTAGCAAAGACAACAAATTGCTGATTGTCTGCCCTTATTAAAAACATTTTGGATCCTGCACCTGATAGGTATCACAAGTTTATATATCAAAACAAATTGGAATTTTACATCAAAATATTCTTGTACAAACCAAATAGACACTGAGAGAACATTGCCTTTTTTAAAGCCTTAATATTCAGTCTAAACCGTAACACTATCCCCTTCCAGCAATTGTTGATATTTACATAGATTAGCTAAGAATAGCACAAGGCCAAATGCAAGAGAAGGTGAAAGATGTGTTTTCAAGTGAGGTGAGCTTGTCCCCAAAGCAATGACTCTCGGTCTTTCCAGTAGCAATCATATTGTAATAAGAAACTGATGATGATGTCCAATCTGGTGAGACATGGGAGACTGTCAAATCGGTGTGTTATCAAATGTCCAGTTGTAGTTTGACAAAAGGGGGTGCAACAAAGACCTTCCTTCACCCACATTGTCTTTGAAGATCTGAAGAAAGTTCTTTACTCCACTTTGAAATGACCATCAAAATTCCTAATCCAAGTGACATCACATGAGCTGTTTGTAATTTCTACGATGTCTCATCAACAATGAGGATTATGCAAAGTACTCTTTTGCTACCTCAAAATTTGAAACAAATAATCAAGCCTAAATTAACATTGATGGAAATGATTATCTTTTTTCTTTTTTTTACCTCAAAAGTTCTTTGCCTCTCCCAAAATTATACCTTGACCAAGAAACAGAACAGTTAATATATTTTCAATTGGCTGTTTCTAGTTACAAGGTTAGCCTACTTAGGTAAGTTGGCTTGAGCTGGTCACTCCTTTCTCTGATTCAGAGGCTACTACAGCTCTCATCACAAATTAGCCCAAATAGACTACTTTTTATCAGAAAGTTTACAGCTTTAATTCTACTTCTTTCTACATTACTGATTCAGTATAATGTGTGGAGCTTTTCATGAGAATGTTTTTAAAGAGTAGGACTACACTCCCTCCCTTATAACAAAATGGCTTCTTTTTTACCTCTTGTAGATTCTTAAATATGAGGGTTTCTTCTCTGCAAACTGTAAACTATTTTCTACCAAATACAAACATTTTGCTTGTATTGTCTTGGTTAGATCATTTTCAGGTTTCTGTATTTCAGAGGTTTGGAGAACAAGAGATTACAACATTTGGCATCATTACTGCCAAAATTAACATGCTTTGGAAAGTTCCAGCCAATTTGTCAAGTTGATGGCATGATATTCTGGACAGTAATGATCTAAGGCACTGGGATTCAAACAACACTATGCTGCCTTTTAAATAAGAAAATTGAGGCATTCAAGTATCATACTTTAAACTAATCCATAAAAACAACATTTTATTGTGACTGATTCTTAATCTATTTTATACATTTTAATTTACCTAAAAACAGTACCAATTTTATTGAATAGTATTTTATCTTTAACCTCATTTTCCTTGTTTTAAGGATTAATACTTTAGCTGAGGCACCATATGGATCATATATCAACTCCTTGATCCTAATGTGGATGAGGAGTGACCAGGTAGCACAAATCATACTGATTTTTAATGGGCTTTTGAGTTATTTCAGAGTCCAAATTCAACAGTTTCCAAACATCAGCATTACTTAAATTAAAATAATAAGGGACCAAACAAAACTAGCTTAATTCAAAAATCCTTCTCTATTTCTATTATGGGGAAAAATGGTACTCTACATCTGGTACTCTTGATAGTTCATACCATCAAAACTATTTTTGGATAAGCCACTCCTCATCCTATTATAATATTGTACGCACACAAAAATTACTCGTTTAATTTTAAATGCTTGCATATAGAATATTATAATATTTAAATCATTCTTGTATCACCAGAAATGCTTTTCATGGCTCTATTTCAGAGAATCTCTTCTTAGACATTCATACATTGCATTTTACTTTTAGCATAATTCACTTACTGGATTCTCACTTGATGATCTTGACAGCATTGCACCACTGTCTCTTAAGTGATGTGAGATACTTTAGTGCCATTTTGGTAGGGAACACTGAAGAAGCTCAAAAATGATTCTTCAGTAGCATTTTCAGAAATCTATGCATCTTTCATTAAAAGGTGTATTTCCGTAGTTATAGCAATGAATCATATGCTAGAGTTTTGCTTTCAGTGATATCTGTTATTACATGAGTCAAAAGAGACTTTCCCTATTATCAGTTAATGTGGATTTTGTAAATACTAAACTATCTGCAAAATAAAAATGTCAACAAACCTTTTAAACATAATATAATTTTGTGCTTATTTCTAATCAAGTTGGTTGTTGTTTTTGCTTCCATGATTCTAGATTCTAGACTCTTTCTTAAAGCTTATAGGAGTGCCAGCCTTCAGCTCTTTTAGTCCCTAAACCTTGAGACTCACAAGGGCATTTCTAAGTATATGCCAATATTGTAAGGTTTTTCTAAAAGCATTTCCTACAGTTTTGTGGCCTCTATATTAAATGGTAAGTCCTGCATAATTCTTTAGCCCTAAAAGATTTCCTTCTCCTCAGGCAGTTACCAGCTAAAGTGAATGAGCCCCATCTACTGAAAGTGAACAACAGATTTTGCAATCTTCAAACTGATGCTCAAAATATGGAGTTATACGTTGGCACAAAAACAAGTCTGCTAGATAAGAAAAATACAAATAAAAAAAGGTGTATGAGTTAAGGAAATGCAAACATAAGCACTAATGTCTGGAAATGCAGAGTGGGAGAAAAGAAGAGAGGAAAAAAAAAAAAAAAGAGAGAGAGAGACAAGACAATTGTATAAATCTCTTTGTGCTTCTCCTCCTCTCACAACATGCTTTAGATAAGCCAGATTGTTAAGAATCTCA